CTCTCTCTCTCTCTCTCTCTCTCTCTCTCTCTCTCTCTCTCTCTCTCTCTCTCTCTCTCTCTCTCTCTCTCAGAGAGACAGACAAACAGACAGAGAGACAGACATACTGACCGGGATCAATCAATCAATCTCCCGCGGCAACGAAAAAAATTAACTAAAACAAAAAAGCAAAGAAAAAAAAAAAGAATTACCACGGGTGTTTCTGCCCACTTCCATTCAGCACATCACCCTCACTGAGAGCGTACTCCACCTCCACCCGCATTAGGGCGGAGGAGGGGGGGGGAGACTTTTCTTGGCCCCAAAAAAATGGTGTACGCACGCGTACAACGTCAGGGGGCCCATTGTACGCAACGTATGAGCGCGTAGGGTCCGCTTTGGCGTCACAGCAGAATCCAAATGATACCTGTCTGTGGCTGGGGAAAAGCTGTCCTAAGGCGGACAGTACTCCAGCTTAGCCATATGGTTGGCACAAGCTCGGAGAGGGCGGTGAGGTGGTATGGCGAGCTGTTTAAGTGCACTCCTCATTCTCATCCTCCTCCATCACACGCCCAGGACGGCTCCCTCCTCGATGTGCTCGACATCAGGGCTCTCCAACTTCCTGGAAAATCTCTCCCAGGTGCCTGCCAACTTTTCTATCTACCCCTGTCCTTCATAGGATAACCTGTAAGTCTTGCTACTATCAAATTTCAGTTGTCCCTTCTCCTACCGCTGTATACAATGCTAACCTTCATCGATACACGAAAGAACAGCATGTGCATAGAGTTAGGACGCTGACACAAGCAATAGATTTGCGACTTATGGGACAGGCATACAATCATTCAAGGTGAATCCAAAAGTACTCCGACAGATATCTCAGTGAAACAGATCACAAGCCAATGATTTTTCTGAAAAACACAGAGTTCTCAGACTGCAACTGTTCAGGTTACTGCAGAAGGGAAGAAATTCATAAACAGAAAGAATCTTTCTGCCCAGACATGGAGAGGCTAGGGATGGACCCAACCAATTCCAAAGGTAGGTGGAGCACATACCTAGCCTTCCTCTTAGGTAGGTGGAGCACATACCTAGCCTTCCTCTTTGACCCGATAAAGCGGAAACACATCCAAAAAAGCATATGAGAGGGGGCCTGATATGACTTGACACCAAAAAATGAGCTTCAATCCATGGAAAGGTCAGCAAGAGCCAGAGACAGAAACTCACCGGGAAAAGCCTAGAAGCTCTAACCATAACTGACCCTCCTTTGTTCCCGGCCGTCCATCACTTCGCAGAATGTAAAGAAGACATACTATTACTTCAGCCACAAGAATGGAAGAAGCCAGCACAAGAACAGCACCCCAAAGGCTCCTCGGCAATCCAGAATGACGACCTGGTAAATGACAACCATGCACCACAAATGGAAAGAGAACTTGCTGGTTCCCAAAATCACAAGCGGAAGATGTACAACGTAACCTCCCTACTGGCCTACATCCTAGCCACACTGCATGTTAACTTTGTATGGCTCACTTAAAGAATCAATGAATCAGCACAAATCCTCAAAGCAGGTCCATAACACCTTTGTTCTAGCCTAAGACAAGCTAGCACTCGTCCCAGCCAACTTTTGGGCAACGAGTGGGAAACAGCTCTCGTAGTTGCTCCTCCTGCTGTTATCCTTACCATTCTTCGTGATCTGGCTGCACGGTCTGCACCCTCCCCTCTTATAAGGAAAAAAAATGAATTGCCTTCCCCGCACTTAATAGCTTTCATAATGCATAGAAGTGTGCAAGAAAAGCCAATGGTCCAGACAAAACTTTGTGCTGATCTGACAGGGAACTCGTGACTGCTCTTCCACCAACACACCCAGCCCCTGCACACCCCGCTTTCCCCTCCCCTTACCCCCGCAAAAGGATAACACAGAACCACAGAACCAGATTGCTTTGCCTTGTTGTGGTCGCGATGGTGGGTAAACAAGAAAGCAGAGTGGGCACCACTAATCTAATCGATTGCTCCGAGCTGTTGGAGAGCTTTGTGTGTTCTCCCATGTATGGACAGTGATCATTTAGCTAGGCGTTGGAAAGCAATGTCCTCTTGTGTTTTCTTTTTGTCTTCCTCCACCACCAATTCACACTAGGGCCTAGTGAATCTTCACTCTGTGCACACAAAGGCTGCAGAAAGGTTCGGCCTACCAGACCCAACAGTACCAGGGGGTTGCGCAAAGTTTTGAGTGTCCATTCCAAAAACAACCAGGGATAATGGGTAGGTTCCACTGCACCAGGGAAATATTAGGAAAAACAGCTGCCCCTGGAAAGGAATTTGGCACAAACTGAATGGATATGGTTGACACTCCTCAATGTGACCCAGGACATCTGACCTTTCAAGCCGACCAGGCCAGGATTGTGAAAATTTTAGGTTCGAGGAAAACATGGTCTGCCAAACTGGTGGTTGAAGAATTGACAGAGCATGGTCTCATAGCAATGGCTCTACATCCACCAGCAGTGGAGGCAACCCAAAGACAGTACCTCTTTGATCCAATACTCCCACCATGTGGACCTGCCCCTATTGGACTATGCCTCTCGTCACACAGCTTCGATCTGGAGCAAAACCACAGATGCATGCACATTGCACACAGACATTCCCGGAACTCAACATATTTCAAACATGAGACTGTAACCCAGCCAATGTGGCTGAATGTTAAACACAGATGCAACTGTTAATGAACAGGTCGTGAGATAGAAGCTTGATTGAATCAGATGGATACAATAAGGTAAGGGGCTCGTCCCTTTAAAGGAAAAAAAGAAAAAAGACTGTTTCGTCGGACTTTCACCAACTCATCAGGAGGGTGAACCTCGACAGTCTACAAGGACCACATGCAAAGAACATACCCCAAGATAGCACTCACAAAAGGTTACGACTCTTATGAGTCTTATGACACATCACGCCAGACAGACAGCCCAACCTCAAGGTCATCTCAACCCCTTTCTTTGGGGCGTCTGGTAAAATTCATTGGCCATTCCTCTACAATTAAACCATATCGTAGAATGTCGCGTGTCAGTAGACTAGTCCATGGAGCTTCACTAGCACTGAGCAAGACAACACATAGAGTGACGATGTGAACACTCTTGGATTTTCTCTTTTCCTTTTTTCTTCATTTTCATAGTTGTTGACAGCCACACATATTCGTATGCTCCTGAACATCTCTAACAACATATGAATGCCCTGTATAATACAGCATCAACAGCCGCACACACTATGTCAGAGCTAGCATGCTGGCATTCACGCCACACGATCTAGTTATTTTCAGCCAAACTCGATGTGGATTGGCTGCCGGGAATTGTTGGACACCTTGAACATACATGTAAACAAAAAGCAAAGAAGATAGGGTTGGTTTATACCAGAAAGTGATAACCCATCCACGTCGTGGTTAGTGTTACTGACCTTGACTCCCAGCTTGCTTGGATGAAAAATAGAGAGTGAGGAAGAAAGCCAAGAGAAAAACCAATGAGATTGCGTTCGGTTGCACTGCAGCTGAACAGGCATTACAGAGGGAAAAGGGGACCAAAGAAAACAGTTTGCGAACAGATTAGTCCCTTTCAGCCTGGTACCCCCAACACGTAAACAGTACACAGAAGGCTCTTCCCCTTTGCTTGGAAGCACTCGCACATATTGCAACCCCTATGATCATGTGTAAACATCAAGTATTACTGCTATGTTTCTGATCAATAGTCACATTCCGCTAAGATCCATAGCTCCATAGCATTGCCATATTTAGTTGAAAATCCATCACTACAGTGATGCTATTGCAATCAATGCAATGTCATCAAAGCACACACACATATCCCTCCATTACAACAATTGAGCAATTAGGACAGGAAGGCTACAGCCAGTACACACTGGCATCTCATGAAATGAGAGTACACATAAGGGTTATCACGCCCCAGCCACAGGTCTCGGGATGGGCCCAAGCCCCCCGATAAGAACAGGAAGGGTACAGCCAGTACACAGGCATCTCATGACATGGCGAGTATGCATCAGGGTTATCACGCCGCAGCCACAGGTTTCCGGATGGGCCCACACCCCGCGGCCAATATCGAGCTATTCTTTCTCTTTTCTTTTTTTGGGGGGAAGGGGATCTGAGTAGAAAAGAAACATAGAAAAGCAAATGTGGGTGTGTATCACCAAGGCCCTTGTCCCAAGGGTTGGAGCACCAAATGCCCCCCGACTGGGCCAGGTGGTCCGACCAGGCAGACCTGGTCGCCTAGAAGGAAAAAATGAAAACAAAGGAGTAAGGATATAGCCTCAAATCCCTGACCACATAAAGTGTATTGGCTGGAGCGGCCGTTTCTTGAAACACCATGCACAAATATGGATTTCAGGTTCCGTTTGCGTTTGCTTGATTGAGTGCATCAACAGTCGTGTGTTCCTTTCTACCTGTAACTCAATGTGCATGCACGCTATTCCTGCACATCAGCAACTGCGGTTGATGTGCATTGTTGATGGCAGTGAATACTTTGGCACAGCAGCCGTTCGATTGAAGCTCATGGCTATCTTTCTGCTTTTCATTGTTCTTTCTTTTGTTTTCCGCATCGTTCGGCCTTTTCGTTTTTCCGAAGGCATTGCCCGCACAGCCCACACCTCAGGTGCCGTGCTAGCAAGCTTGAATGCCCTTTGCAACATTTCTTAGCATTAGAGTGACAGAACAGCAACCACAAGCCGCAATGTGTACAGGTTACCCGGAGCTTTTCTTAAGAACCTCTTCCAATCCCAGTGTGCTCACCATCCACGTACCAACATAGCATCAAAATAGACGAATTCCCCCGGCCCCTTCAACAGAAGCGCATGGACCGCCCACAGGAATTGCTAGAGCAGCCTCTGTCAAAAGAGGAGATCAGGACCGCCTTGATGCAGATGGAGGAAGAAAAGACCCCAGAGATTGATGGGCTCCGGAAGAAATCTGGGGAATCCCCATGGAGCCACCTCTCCTAGGATATTATGGACTACTATCATGCAGTATGGATCATGGGCCAAATGGGGCAATTTGTCAAGGGCTGGCCACATTGCTATACAAAAAAGGGGACAAGACTAACATCCGAAATTATCATCCTACAACACTCCTCACAGTCGAGTACAAAATGGTGGCAAAGGCTCTCGCCAATCGGACGGTAACAGTGATGAAGGACATCATCCACCCACCCTAGACGGGATTTATCAAGCGACAAAAAATCCAGGACAATATCCTTCTAATAAGTGAAATGATCAAAATTTCTAAACAATCTAGACATAATGCAGCTATCATTTTTATAGACTTCAAGAAAGCACATGATCATCTGGACTGTTTTTTTCTTTGACAAATGTCTAGAGAAACTAAACTTTGCCCCCTGCTTCGTAAATGGGTGGAGATCCTACATCAGAACGCCAATACTAAAGTCCAAGTAAACGGGACGTTGGCCCCGGAGATCCATCTCCAAAGATCGGTCCGGCAAGGGGACCTGATAGCTCCTTTTCCTTTTGTAATTGCAATAGAGGCATTGGCAGCCAACGCATAAAAATATTCACAAAATTTGAGTCACCTCTATCTCTGAGGAGACGGTCCCCATTTGTTCTCTAGCAGCGGATGACCTCACATTAATGGTGGATGCCTCCCTGGAGAACCTACTAGAGATCCAATGGTACATGCAGCGCGTGCACACACGGGCCATTTTGCAGGCCCGACGGCCATTTTGCAGGCCCGACAGCGTTCAGGCCAAAAGCCTGAACTTCAGGCCGAAAGCCTGAATTTCAGGCTGAAAACCTGAAATCCAGGGCTTACAGGCCCCCTGTCGGTTCAGGCCAAAAGCCTGAAGTCCAGGGCCTATCCCTGGTCGTTTCAGACTAAAAATGGCAACAGCCTTTTTAGCCTGAAACGAAGGGCCATTTTCCGTCGTTCATCAGAACGACCGGCCCTGAAACTCAGGCACCGAACCAAGGTTTCGGAAACAGACTATTATTAGTCTGTTTCCCACGCCAGCCTCAAGCAGGCTGCTGCACGCCAGCCCCTGGCACATTTCGGCATTGGCAAGAGCTGCCTCCTCGGCCTGACTGCCCTCCAGTAGTCAGGAGGCAGGCCGAGGTAGTACATAGGACTTCCCAGGCACTTCCGAGGTAGGCAGTTGGTAGTTGTAGTCTTCAGGATTCGGGTGCAGCACTCTGGAGGGAGCGCTGCGTTGTAGTAGTGGTAGCGTTAGCTAGTAGTCTTCAGCGCTGGGCGCAGTAGGTAGTTGTAGTCTCCAGCGCTGGGCGCCATAGCTAGGTAGTACAAGAGGGAGAGAGAGAGAGCTTGGGCGGAGGCCAGAGGTACCTACCTGCAGCGCCGTTGCTCCAGCTTCGTCTTCCAGGTACCTGCAGCACAGCGCCAACATCACAGGTTAGTACTTGGTTCGTAACAGAGAGAGAGAGAAAGAGTTATTCTTCTTCCTCTTCTCAGTCCACCATCTCTTCTCTCCCTCTCACTTCTGACTTCACTGCATCTGCAGACTATGAGAGAAGAGATACAGAGCTTGGTGACATTGGATCCAGACTCGACTTTCGAGGGTTCAGACATGGCAACGAGGGACTATTTGGGATTGGTGACCAAGACTTGGTGTTAACGACATTCCCATCTTCTTCCCTCCTTTCGTCTGTTCCTTATCTCTTCGTCTRTGTATGTCTGGACCTGSCGCTTTCTTCCTGTGTGYAGCGCCAGGCTCCTTCACACTTCATGATGGATACAAGGCATGTTTAGTCTGAGTTCAAACATTGATTGGGCTAGTTAGAGGTACTCTAGCATTCTGCTTCGTTACTCTGAACTACGTGAATGAGGTCAGTCCTGTCAGGTCAGTCTTGTATCAAAGTCTTCCCTGCGCTCTTCAGCATCTTTATGTATAAATGAGAATGTACATTGCTTGTCGAGATTCTACTCGTACCGCATTGTCTATTCAGTCCTTTTCATCACATTGCAGATTCTCGGTTTATTACGTGCATTGCATATCTGTGCATGTAACATCCAAGCATTGACGAATCAGTTCTGCAACCTTTCGGACATGAATGTGAACTGGGGCAACAAGACGTTGGGCTGGTGGGTACCAAGGAGGTAGAGCCCCGGGCACCCCACAGATCATTTGGATGCCGCTGGATGCCCCGATTAGGGTATTAGGAGTCTCTATGACAGCAGAGGGCTGACCAGCAACCAACGATGAATGGATCATTAACCCAATCCTAAAAAACTCACCCAATGAAAGGACTGGCAAACATCGCTGTTTGGCTGCTCCCTAGTCATTAACAACGTGATTCTGGCCTTATTGTGGTACCGATCAGCTCTTTGGGCACTCAGTAAGAAGGGACTGCGATCTCTGCAACGTCAAGTGGCAGCCTATCTCCGGAGAGGGAACCACGAGTGCCACAACATCATTAGCCGGGTGGCATGGCAATCGGTAATTCAACCAAAGCCCAAGGGAGGGCTGGGCATTATCAACTTGACCACCCAGTTGTGGCTCTAGCTATTCAATAGGTGAAAGCCCTCCTCTTGAGTCCACAAGCCCCTTGGCGGGCCCTAGCACTTGAGTAAATAGCACGCCTCCTACAATGTGGATTGAAGACCGTTATTGAACCATCCCACGAAACTCCACCCAGTACCAAGGCACAAACCAGCAGGCAGCAAGGGGAGACCTAAGAACCGATCCCTTTTGGATCAATCTGTTGAAAACTTGGCGCAGGCTCCCCCTACCAGATAAAGTGCCCCCCACAAGATGGGAGGAGGTGTACAGACAGCCACTATTTGGTAACACATGGCTCACAGAATCTGGGAGCGTCTTCCTCTGCACAGAGATCCCATGGCAAGGGTGGCCCAAAAATGGATTCTCAGGATAGGGGACACCTAGGATCAGGAGCAACAGGAAAGGGTGATGGTACCTCAGCTGAGAGACAAATTAAGGTACTGTCACAACCCAGGGGAGGCGCTCGAAACAATTGTATACGCCATCCCCCCAGATTGGGTTCGTATATTGCGCAAAGGGCCAAAAACCAGGGTCGGGGACTACGTCGTACTCCGAGAACACAGAGACACAGTTGGCAATGTATTGGATGTTCACCCTGATGGGGAAGTGTTGGTCAATTGTTTCCCATTGCAAGGCAACCATCGCCTCACCCGGATAGTCCCGGTGGAGGACCAGTGGCTTCCCCCAATGGAAGTCTTCTGTATCCGAACTCTAAAAGAAAGGATGAATGGCTTGCCTATCAGCCAAATACCCCGACCTCACAACTAACTTGTGACCTGGAAGTTCTGGCCTGAACAACACCGAGGGGCAGAAGGGGGCAAAGGAGGAGAAGATGCAGACATCGATAGGTAGTACTGCATGACTTAACCGGCAGTAATCCCGACAGTGAGTGGGGCCTGCACCAGTACACATGCTGGCCACAAGTCGGCTCAGCCTACCAGGTGCAGAGATGGAGGGGAGGTGTTAAATTTTGAGTGTCCCTAACTTTAGTTCTCACCACCTTTGACAAAAATCCCCTTTTTTTTTAAATCAGGGATGAAGGGTGGGTGCCACTGTGTTAAGGGAAAAAATTACAAAAACCAAACGAACGGCTGCAGAAAATAAACAACAGCACAACTCCAGCATGCACCATATGCACATGGTCAGCTCTCATTTGCTGTGACCCCCATAGCCCCAACTATTGAAGGCTAGTGTTGGTGGCACCACCAGATTTGACAAAGTAGGTTTGGGATTGCTGATAGGCCTCAACCACCAGTACTTCTGAGCCTCTTTACTCCGATACGGAATTCTTCCATCCAAAAAAGCTTGCTGAGCCTGAAAGAGGCCCGTACCGATAGCAGGCAAATGAGGGCGCCGCCAGGTACCAGTGTCTTTCTGGATTATGGGTCTTCCTCGGTCTATTCGAACAGACATTCAGAAAGAGGCCGTACTTAAGCAATAGTACACTCACTGTGTACGGCAGTGTTCACCCGGCTCCTTTTTTTCCCTCGAAGAAACAGGTCCTTATGGTCCCGGCTCCATATTCATTCCGGAAAGTGCCAGTCTGGTTACTTTCCCCCTGGCAAGTCAGGGACGCTATTTAGATCCTGACACTTCCTTCCTTCCCGCCTAAGGACCCTTGGCTCCACATTTCAGGAAGACTAACTGTCAGCTTGCCTCTCTCATGAGTTCCTCTCAAGTTCCATCGCTGAACCACCCAGCTTTGCCCTTTTAAAACAAGAAATCGCAGGAAGGTACTGCTATTCCACATCCGTGTCCGGCATAACCACCCTTTACTTCCCCGCCCAAGGTTGTTGGCTCCCTTTCTGACCATCACAACCGCATGGAACTCTGAGATCTCTCCATTTGAGTATTCTGCGTCCCCTCTGCTGTATCAGAGTTATGCCAGTCTCTCCACCTCAGCCTCATGTCACTAATGTCTGCCCCCTTGCCTCTGGCTAACCAGTTGCCAACTGTCAGGGTTGCATTGAAATGCAACTTCGACACTTTGCCATTGACATAGAATTTCCTCCTCAACCATGCTCTTGGTAGCCGTCCAGAATTTGCCGCATGTATTCTTGGTGTTGTCCAACGTCCTGCTGCCTCTGCCCTTCCATACAACCCACCGTGTTGCTTTGCGAATCACACCTTTTCTGGTTTGCCAAACTGGGATCCGATGTTAGTCTGAAGAAGGAGCTGGATAGGGTGTTCAGGAACAGCAGCAGAGAATAAGTGGCCCAAAAGGTCCGAAGCTCTAGACCAGTATGCTGTTGCTTCTTTACACATGATTAGAAAGTGTATCATTTGCCTTGTTCTTGGTCTGAGCAGACTGCACAGAGGTTCAAGCTGGTTGGGTTGCTATTCATTCTTCTGATTTGCAGCCAGCGATTGACAGGCAGGGCGACGTATGTAATAAGCCATTGTGGAGGCTTCTAAGTTCTAACCTTTACTGGGCATATTAGTATGAAAATTCTTCCACAGTATTTTGGGAATTTGGTTAGCCTCATCCTCTATTAGCCTTGTCCATCTACCCTTGATAACAGATTTGGAATTTTAGAGTCCTTCGTCTTCAGTAGCATCTCATATCCCAATTTGACTGTCTGAAGGTGAAAAGAACCCTAAGAAAGGGTTCTGCCCCTTCCTGTTTGCCAACCCCATTCTGCTGGGTCAAGCTCCAGTTCCTGGATCGGTGATCCAATTTGAAATATGGTTTTTGACCATAGCCCCATCACTCTTACTTTGCGTAAGGTATAAACACTGAGGATGACTTCTTATGGATCTTTGTTCAACATATAGATGGGGCATCAGGGTTAGAATGACTAATTGGGAAGGATACGAACATGGCAGAGAAGTTACTCGCTCCTCGGCTTGGCACGCCCGGTTTGGAAATATCTATCATCGGGCTCATACAATGCCAGCAATGAGAGGATTGACTTTTTATGTGGGATGATGGACCGGGTTTCCAGAAGGTGTTGCTCCCACCGATAGACCAGAGCTGGCACCATAACCACTGTTGAGAGGTTCTCATATCACTCTCAACAGTAGTTGACACAGCCTCTTCAGAAAAAAAAGAAAAAAAGAAAGAAAGAAAGATGCTTCCCGCGGGCCCAGCGTGGTGGTGTGTGCAGCGTTTCACGGCTCCTTTTTTACTTTGTTTTGCCAGCTGCGGCGGTAGTTGGGTCACTGCTGGTGCGGTGTCGAGGGCCATGCGATATTTCAATTTCCATTCAACAAGCCCCCCACCATGTGGTATTTCAATTTCTGTTCAACAAGCCCCCACAGTTTGTCGTTTTCCGCCGGGCTGATGTTTGAATACAAGTACATTGCAGGCTCATGGTGGGGTGCAGAGAAGTCTCTGCCCCAAGGAGCTGGTCGCGAATTCAAATTGGTGATGTGTCTGCTGTGCTCCGGTTTTTGCTTCTTTGTTTGTTTGTTATTTTCGTCACTTTTCATGCTGATTTTTCTCGTTTTTGGTTGTGGTTGGTCTTTGTAGTTCCTCGTCCACAATGCACTGCGCCCCCGGAGTTGTATTTGAATACATGCAAGCGCACGTCGTGCGGGCGGTTCCCTACGCGCAGCGCACGCGCCCAACCGATCCCGTGCGGCGCACGACGTGTGCGGAGAACGAACCGTCACCCCCCTCAGAAAAAAAAAAAGGCTGGGGTCGAAACGGTGCATATGAGGCCCCCCGCCAAAATTATAAGCGAGATGAAAGAAAAAAATTATAGGAGTACTGTCTCACCTTGCTCCTCCTCCCCTTCCTCATCCTCCATGTCTCCTCCTCCCTTCTCCTTTTCGTCTCCTCCTCCTCCTCCTCCTGCCCTTCCTTATCCTCCTTGTCTCCTCCTCCTCCTCGTACTTCCTCATCTTCCATGCCTCCTCGTCTCCTACCCTTCCTCATGTCCTCCCCTTCCTCGTGTCCTCTTCTTCCTTCCTCGCCGTCCATGTCTCCTCCTCCTCCCACTCGTCCTCCTCCTCCTGCCCTTCCTTATCCTCCTTGTCTCCTCCTCCTCCTCGTACTTCCTCATCTTCCATGCCTCCTCGTCTCCTACCCTTCCTCATGTCCTCCCCTTCCTCGTGTCCTCTTCTTCCTTCCTCGCCGTCCATGTCTCCTCCTCCTCCCACTCGTCCTCCTCCTCCTGCCCTTCCTCTTTTCCCTCCGTCCATCTCTTCTCCTCCCCCATCTCGACTCCTCGTCGCCCTCGCTATCCTCGTCGTCCTCCTCGTCCACATCCTCCTCCTCCTCTCCATATCCCCCTCTCTTCGCCATATCCTCGTCTTCCTGTCATACGCCCCCCCATTCCCCCTCCCCAAAAAAGATAAAATAATAATAATAAAAATAAAAAACCTGCACGATTCCGCACAGGCACCCCCCGCACGGAACTCCGCACGGAACTCCGCACGAATGTGCGGCTCTTGCGGTTGCAAGTATATGATTTGAATTGAGTGGCCAGGATTGCTCCAATAAAAGTGCACACCTGGCCCATGTCAATGAACTGTTCACATCTACGACTGTCAGGGCATACTGCATGTACTACCGTAAGGGCATACTACACCTGCGAGTGTCAAAGCATACCACACGTACGACTGCCAGGGCCACACTAGCACTCATGTGACTGCAAATACTGCAATTACGGCCATGCCTGGATAAATCTCACCACAATCAGGTCCAGAGCTTTGTAGAAAAAGTCCTAGTGTGTGTACGCCCTAAGTTCTTTTTCCCCTTTTTTTTTCTCTCTATCATTCCCGCGTTCAGAGGCGATCTCCCACTACCAGAGAGGATTGGTTTTAAAGCACCACTACCTTTCCCGCTGTTGGGGAATTCACGATCTCAGGTCTGCATCTCAACAGTTCATGGGTGTACCACAAAGTGACAAACTGAATTATGTCGTTTGCTTTTTTTTTTTCCCAAAGGGTGACGGCCTTGAGATATCGTCATTAAACTGACCAGTCCCAGGTGATTCAGAATTATTTTATTCTGGTCATCTGATTGTGCCTAGATTCAAACTTGGGTCTGTATTTCAACAGTTCGTGGGTGTACCGAAGTGGGCTAGGCCCGTTGGTATGCCATTCGCTTTTGCCAAGGGCCACGTAAAAAAAGGGCCACATGTCCTTCGGGACATCCGTTAACGATAAAGAGAAGATTAGCATGGCCCCTGCGCAAGGATGACACGCATAGATCGAGAAATGGTCCAAAAAAAAAAAAAAACTTTTAAAAAGGGAAAAAAAAAACAGCACTGGCAGTTTGGAAAATCTTGACACGCAGTGCAGCGCCTACAGGCCCAGCCGTACTGGTGATATAAACCACCAGTACGTTTCTCAGCTAGAAAATCAGAGTCCCTCCCTGCATGCTGCCGCAACTCTTGAGAAATACTGCGGCACTGTTTCGCGGCACATCCCTCTAGGCAAAACGGGTTGCATACGAGGCCCATTTCACCTGGATGGCGCCCCGGTGCTTCACAACAGCCGCAGCAGTATGCACGCCGCGACTTTGAGTTTCTAGCTGGGAAACGTACGGGTGGCTTAAGCCACCAGTACTTCCGAAGCACCTTTCTCTGGAGCCATAAACGCCCTGCGTGCCAAAAGAAAAAACGAACCAGCACGGGCCGCCAGCCATTTTGCTCCAGCAATCCATGCAAGCCACAACTTTGAAAAAAGCTGATGGGAAATGTACTGGTGGTCCAATGTACGGAAATTGCTGTCGGTGACTGTTATCTTGGGATACAAGATCCCAAGTGTTGCTGGCAACGTGTGCCACTCCGTCCATTTCATGTGTAGTCCTTGAGTTGTTGCCACCTTGCCTTTGCTAGCCACATATGTTGGAGTTTGCTTTTCTGTGTCCCCTCCAGTTCAGGATCCGCTTGGATCAGCAGTTTGACCTTTTCCCATTGAAACGGTATTCACCAATTCGTGGTAGCTGAGGTAGATCCCAGGGCTCGATCCCTAGTTCCCCAACTTACCTGTGTACAATACCTGCGTCAACTCGAAGAGTTGAACCTGCGACCTGTAGAACCGCCAGTGGTAGGTAGGTCTGTCGTAGGTCTATAGGTAGCCAGGATTCGATCCGTAGACCTATAGACTAGAAGGCTAGCTGCAGTCCTTCTAGAAGGTTGGCAAGTGGTCAAGTGGTGCCGGCAAGTGGTCAAGTGGTGCAGGCAAGTGGTCAAGTGGTGCAGGCAAGTGGGCATGTGGTGTGACTAAAGCAGGGTCGTCGTCATACAGTCAAGGGAGAGTCTAGAAAGTACCAGTCCGGTCCAGCAAGTACCACGGGGGGAACTGTGTGCACCATGGGCCAGGGACACAGGGCAGACCAATGCAGCACAGAAGTATAAATCAAGAGGCTACGTCCATTCATGGATTCATTCCTGCGGATGCCAGGCAGAAGCGCTGCCTTAGCAGCTTGTGCGAGGCGGTCTGCAGTGCGCCCGAAGACGAAGTGGGCAGAGAAGTGTAGTGTAGCGATAGGGTAGAGGCAGCTAGCGCTGCCATAGCTGTAGCATAGTATGTGTGTGTGTTGTGTATGATACTGAGTGTTGCGTGTGGGACATCCAGGGTGATCCAGAGTGCGAACAGTGAGTTGTGTGGGCGCCCAGTCGCCATAGCCAGTTGAAGAGAACTCATATCTGGTTACGATATCTTGAGTACTGTGTGGGCGCATG